TAGATGCTCTAGGACGCCTAGATGCTCTAGGACGCCTAGATGCTCTAGGACGCCTAGATGCTCTAGGACGCCTAGATGCTCTAGGACGCCTAGATGCTCTAGGACGCCTAGATGCTCTAGGACGCCTAGATGCTCTAGGACGCCTAGATGCTCTAGGACGCCTAGATGCTCTAGGACGCCTAGATGCTCTAGGACGCCTAGATGCTCTAGGACGCCTAGATGCTCTAGGACGCCTAGATGCTCTAGGACGCCTAAATGCTGCTCTAGTTTTTACGTCGCTGTTTTAACGACCGCCTGTGGCCGTGTTCGGTTATGACCTCTTGACACTCACAAAAATAAGCGAGACTTGTCTAAATTTTGATGCAGTTTTTTTGTTCCGGTATGGGTCATCTTGACCCATTTTGGCCCGGCAAAAGAGCGTATGTTTTCGACGTGCAGAAATGATGTCACTAGTTATTTATTATTATTTTTACCATTATAACCATTATTGCCATCATTACAATTATCACCATTAGTTTTTTTTAGTGTATAATTAAAAGCAAATTCACTTTTTACATAAAATAAAACTTTGAATATTTTTTCGCAGCTTTGAAGTAGAAAAGTTCAAATCTAACGAAGAATATCAATATTTCTCTGCCAATCTCTGCATTTTTTTGGCAGTTTTTTTTTTGTGAATACAAATCTTTCTCCCTTCAATTGTTCGCTCATTTATAGTATAAAATTCAATATTTAATGATTGATGACTCACAGAGACTCATATTTATGATCTATATATAATATATATCAAAAAATAATGTAATATTTACTAATTATATATAATTAGTAATTAAAATACATTTCTGATCCATTTTAATTAGTTCATCTAACCGAATTTTGCTTTATATTTCATTAGAAATTCAAAAAAATAATTGTTTACTATTCGTCTGAAATTGAAGCGAACTGATAATTATTTTTAAGATAATAGTAACCTAATTTTAAATTAAAATTATAATTTAATTTTACCGAAAATTTAATGGGGAGAAGTGGGGGAAATGGGGAGAAGTGGGGGTAAATGAGGTGTGTGGGGGTAATTAGGGTTAAGTAGGGGGATAAGGAGGGCAAGGGGGTAACTGGGGTTGTGGGGAATTGGGAAAATGAGGCGTGCGGGGTTTCAATAAGGGGAATATTATTAATACTAATTTACCTATTTAAGATAACTAGATAATTCACCGTCCTCTAACAATATACTTCAAATAAAAATTAATCTATAGTCAATAATTTGGTTAATCACATTTATTTCCCAGTCATGAATTTAAAATGATGAATAATTTGATAATTGATGACCACAGCTTCCAATTATATCACAAAAAATAATGAGTAACTAATTTGTTAATTGATAATAAAATAATTAACGCAGGTTCAGGACATGACGACATCGCTGAGATGCCCTACAGACGCTACGCCAGCCAACACGACTTCCGTGAGTCATCATTATTTAATAAATTAATTATTGAGATAATTAAATTCATTAATAATTATTAATATAATTAAATATTTTTTGTAAAGATTATTTTCAATTTTTTCAAACACTAGTTTTAAATCTTAATTAGTTAGAAATTTTAGTCTATATAGTACAAGTTATAACTAAAATCATTTTTTTAATTTTCTAATCATAATGATCGGTTCAATATTGAACCCGTCATTATTATAACCTCTGCCCTCTCTATTACCCTCTCTATCACCCTCTCTATTACCCTCTAATTTCCTTCTCCCTATAATGAGCTCGATAATGGGCTCGATAATGGGCTCGATAATGGCTCGATAATGGGCTTGATAATGGGCTCGATAATGGGCTCGATAATGGACTCGATAATGGGCTCGATAATGGGCTTGATAATAGGCTCGATAATGGGCTCGATAATGGACTCGATAATGGACTAGATAATGGGCTCGATAATGGGCTCGATAATGGGCTCGATAATGGGCTCGATAATGGGCTCGATAATGGGCTCGATAATGGGCTCGATAATGGGCTCGATAATGGGCTTGATAATGGGCTCGATAATGGTAAATAATGGGCTTGATAACGGGCTCAATAATGAGCTGGATAATGGGCTAGATAATGGGCTCGATAATGGGCTCGATAATGGGCTCAATAATGGGCTCAATAATGGGCTCGGTAATGGGCTCGATAATGGGCTCCTTTTTTATTTATTAATCGACTCATTAGTAAGCTCGGTAATGAACTCATTAATAGGCTCATTAATTTGCTCATTATTAGTGCTATATATATTCCTATAGACTTATTACTATGCTCTTTAATTGCTGATAATTTCGGTTTAATTATTTTTATTAATAGTATTAGACTTATGATAGGGCTCATTAATGGGCTCGTTACTAGGTTCATTAACGGGCTCATTATTAGGCTCATTAAGGAATGTGAGGAATACATTGACGAGCTGTAATTCGATTTATAATGTTCAATAATTCAACTCAATATTGTATATAATATATATATTATATACAATATTATATATATATATATAATATTGTTAAAGCTGAAAATCTACTGTTTTGTATGCAATAGAATATTGTGAATAGTTCGTTTACACTGAATAAATTTATTATAATTAGAGATTAACAAATATTTATTAATTATTTAGAAGATATCCTGTGCAATTATTATAATATTAATTAGTCCGGTAATTATGAAAATCTTTCTTCAATTAACAATAGAATAATTTTCAATTTGTTATTATTTATCAATATGTATTATTATTATTTATCAATATGTATTGTTATTATTTAATAATGTGTAGTGTTGTTATTATTTATTTATTTATTTTATTAATATGTAAAACATTTATTATTACAGACCCGGTGGGGGGCTTGCCAGGGAGGCTGGGGGGTGCACACTTCCCCCCACACGCCCCCCCTCCCCCCCACTCCGCCAGNCTTCAAAATCCGGCGGCTGTCCCTAGGCCTGACGCAGACACAAGTGGGGCAGGCCCTCAGCATTACAGAGGGACCGGCCTACTCTCAGTCAGCCATATGTCGGTGAGCCATAAGTCTAATGTTGGTCCATATGTCGGTGAGCCATAAGTCTAATATTGGTCCATATGGATATAGTTAATATTATGGCTAAATATATGTATTACTTTATTGTTGTTGTCCCAGTCAGCCATATGTCGGTTAGCCATAAGTCTGATATTGTTCCATATGTCGGTGAGTCATAAGTCTAATGTTGGTCCATATGGATATTGTTAATATTATGGCTAAGTAAAATATATATTATTTTATTGGTGATCTGCCAGTCGGCCATATGTTGGTGAGCCATAAGACTAATAGTGCTACATATGTCTAATGTTGCTCCATATGTTTATTGATAATATTTTGACTAAATTTAATAAATATATATTATTTTACTGATCTCCCAGTCGGCCATATGTCGGTGAGCCATAAGTCTGATGTTGCTCCATATGGATATAGTTAATATTATGGCTAAATATAATAAATATTACTTTATTGTTGATCTCCCAGTCAGCCATATGTCGGTGAGCCATAAGTCTTATGTTGGTCCATATGGCTATAGTTGATTATTGTGATTAAATATAATATGTATATCGCTTTATTGTTGATCACAGTTAACGTTCAAAGTCTGAAATTAACGATAATTAAATATAATATACGTACGTATATCGGCGGTATAAATTCCTTTATTGTTGATGAAAGTTTACGTACGGAGATAAAAATAACGACATTTAGATTAATATTGTGATTGTTATATAATTATATAACGATTATTATGCTGAGAACAAAATATTGTATAGCTACGGCTGGTTAATATAACCTATATCAACGAAATTATATTATATTTTTTTAGCTTCAAGTGTTATTAGTATGATTATTGTATAGTTGCAGGAATAGATACAATATTGTATATTATTGTATGAATATTGTATTCTATTATACAATATTGTATGAATATTGTATAATATTACATTATATTATACAATATTATATAATATTGTATGAATATTGTATTATATTATACAATATTGTATAATATTGCATTAATATTATATTATATTATACACTATTTTTAAAATATTGTATTATTATTGTTGCCATTGTACAACCTATATTGCCATTAAAATATTGTATTATTATTGTTGCCATTGTACAACCTATATTGCCAATTGTATTGTATGAACAATAACTGTATTTGCCGCGCCATTCATCCAAGTTATTCATCCATTCAGCCCAGGTTTGTTAATGAATTAATTTCTTATTAAGTGAATTAATTTCTGATTAAGTGAATTCTTGAGCAGGTGATAATATTCACTCAAATAAATAAGTGGGTCAAATTGTGACAAATAGTGACACATTTTCTGCACGTAGCACTGATACGCCTTTTTACCGGGCCAAACTACGTCAATTTGACCTACAAAAAAGCAGAAAGTGTGTCACAATTTGTACAAAGCCTCACTCATTTGTCTGTGTGTAGTAACCTTCCCCAAGGCAAGTGATGTTAATGTGCTATTGTTATCTATTGTTATTAACGTTATTAATTATTATTGCCGTTATTAATTATCATTGCCGTTATTATTGTTTGTGTTCATTTTGTTTCATGTATCCTGAGGGGAGGGTGTAGCTACTTAAGTAGCTGCTTAAGTAGCTAGGGTGTAGCTGCTTAAGTAGCTTCCTTACATGTCGACCTTACACTAATAACGCCCAGCCTTAGATTATTAATTAATAAGTAAACTTTCAAAAACTTTCATCTTTTCACGAGTATTCATTAAAAAATTGTATTAAGACACAAAAAGAATTTTTTGTTGATTCGTAAAATCATCAAATTTTTCGTTCTTTTTTCCTAACGACATTCGTTATACGTAATTATTATAACGAACATTAGTTTTTGATAACTGGCTTTTGTGCCAATATTAAGTCCTTTTAAAAAAAATTATCACGACATTTCCACGGTTTTCTTATTTGTATTTTTGAAAACAACCCATTAAATTTTTATTGAAAATCCGATGGAAATGAAATTGAAATTATTGAATTTGAATTGCGAAAAATTTTCTATAATTTTTGGCGAGTTATGACAGAGTAGAATTAGAATTGGTTAACAAAATTATTTATAAATTGGTTCAGAAAAATTCATCTTTTTCAAACTACACTAAAATGCCCCTTTTAAACTTCAAACAAAAATTTAGAACCGAATTTTCGAACTAAAAGAGCGCTACTCAATTCCGGTTGCAAAATTTCGTTCGCGTAAAACCTATTTATTACACACCAAACATTCGCTGTATAATAAGTATCTTATTAAGGGGTAATTAGCTAAACAACCCATTTACATTCATTTAACTGAATAACTCATTCACATTCATTGTCCTCATGTTCCACGTTGCATGCCTTGTTTAATAAGTATCTCATTAAGGGGTAATTAGCTAAATAACTCATTTACATTCATTTAACTCAAAAACTCATTCACATTCATTGTCCTCATGTTCCACGTTGCATGCCAGCTTCAGCATCTTCTATGTATATTTCTTCAAAACCATAAAAACTTCGATCAAATTCACCATATTAAAATCTTGCGAAAATTATATCCTGATTCTAAAAAATTCCTCGAAAAAATTGCAATTTCCCAACCTCCTCCCCAACCCATTCCCCAAGTCCCCTAAATGTATCCCCAACTTGCATGTTTTGTGTCTCTGAAATACTTCCGTTTTTGATGTCATGTATTTCTACATCATAAAAAAATTATGTAAATTTAAAATTTCTCTTTTTTCACTTCGAAAAAATTTTTCGTTGTTGAAAGTTCACCACAAGTTTACCGTTTTAAACATTTTTTTAAATTAGGTTAATTAGGTTGAACTAACTGGCTAGATAAGTGAAATAATCATTAAAATCAATTAGAAATTTTTAAAGATAAATTGTAGAACAATTTCAAAGATCATGCGCTGATTACGTTTGTGTTTAAAATTTACAATTGCAAAAATTTTTATAATTTAATAGGTGAAGATTCAAATAAAAACAATTTATCGACAATTAAATGAGAACCAAATCAATATATTTAAAAGCGCCAAGTTTTCTATTACTAAAGATTATATAAAACTTGATTTTTCGAGAAAAAATAACAATATTATCTCTAACTAGCCTATTGTTAATTGAGAAAAGATACTAGCACCTAATTTTTCAATAGCCTTTTTAGTGCACAAATTTCGATTATTAACAATTAATCATGATTAAATAATATTATTCGATTAGCCGTCTTCTAAGCTTCACCCTCCATTGCTCTGGATACCTGAACAAATCTGAAAATTTTTAAAAATTTTGTCAGCTGAACTCTAATTTAGAATAAATTTTGATCATTAAACATGCACAGAAATTAAATTTTTCAAGTCATTTTATGACTTAAAAAAGCACTTTAATTCATTTCCTTGGAGTGAAAAATGTCGAGTCATGCCGATGATTTCGTGTGTTAATTTTAGTAATTATTGGAAAAACGCTAAATAAGTTACATCAAATTTTATCAAAATTAATTAAAAAATTAGTCAGAAAAAAAGTTGTTTAAAAATTTTTCCAGATAAATCACTGTTATTTATAATAAAAATTCAGTTTTTTATGCAAAAATTTGAAATGAATCCAACAAAAATGTGAAATAGTTTTTGTGATGTTTAAAAAGTTTTTTTTACAGTAAATTTTTTGACAAGAAAACTGCAAAATTTTTAATAATTCTGAAAAATGGAAATTGGATTACCTCCAGTAATTTTTTATAAAAATATAAACTCTTCGATAGAAAAGGATAATAGTCTGAAATTATATTAAATTTTTCGTATTGACTGGAACAATCTCATATATTTAAATTTACATTCAATGCAAAGGATTCAAGTTTCACAAACAATCTTTCTTAAAGCGTAAATTTAAACTCCAATTTTTCAATTTATCTCAATCCATAAAAGTTCCTAAATTTATATTGCAAATTGATTCATTTGATTATAACATATGTATTTTCAAGGACAATCTGTCAAAATTTCATAAACTTTTCATTATTGCAAACTAAAAATTGATTTCTCTAAAGAATAACGTAAAAAAAACTTATGCAAATGACAGAAGTCTCTTTGTAAATATTACTGTTGGATCTTCGTTTCAGAATTTTCCATAATTTACTGATACTTTCAGAAAGAAAAACTTTAAAATGCTCGAAATTTTTGTTCGCAATTAGTACATTAAACTTTGGTTAACTCGAGTAACTCTATGGAATTTTTGCGATGTTTTTTTGTTTGAAAAAAATATTTACGAGTATATTGTCAAAAGCCTACGGAAGTTAATTCTTTTCGAAATTTATTTTTTTTTAATATTCAACATTGAAAATTTTATAAATTAAACCAAAAAAATTGTCTAACGTTCGGCTACGAAAATGTAAAATTCTACTAAGACAATTTTGTAAAATTCTGAAATAAATTAAATATTCCGAAAAAATGTTTTGAAATGTCAACGAAGCAAATGTAGAAAAAATCTACGGAGGTTACATGATTTTTTTCGCCACTAGGTTTGAGAAACTCGACATCACTCCTAAGAGTGCGCAAAAAATCAAACCTGTACTAGAGAGATGGATGGAGGAAGCTGAAGACAGGTAACCATATCAATTTATTTATTTTAAATCAGGCAATATATTCCTGGTATAAAAATCAGAGATTATTTTATGGTATAATAATCAGATATTATTTTCCTGATTTATCAAGGCATGCCTATTCCTGTTCCCCTCCCTTCCTTGCGGTTGTGCTCATGCCTGGTTATTTTTTTCATTCTAATTCATTCATTCATTCATTTCATATCAATTACATTTATATCTAATTCATATAATCTTTAGTTCTTACTACCTAAGGGGATTTTTTCAACGTTCACATAAAACAAATCGGTCATAAAATTTACAATATAATATATTCAATTCGAATATATATTAAACAACAGGAATATTTTATTGTTCGATTAAATAATTCAAAAGTTACCAATCATAATTACTCACAATTCAACCATTAGAGTTATTGAATTTTTTAGTACTAATTTTGGATGATTTTTTCTATTCAAAGGTTTTGTTTATAAATTTTTTCCTGGGACTTTTTTTATATAAATTTGTTACCCACACGTTTATTCCAAGATTGTTCTAATTTAAGCAAATGATTCATATGGTAATTTTACCCCTAAAAAATATAACTAATTAAATTAATTACTTGAATGTAATTAAAGTGGGGGTCACTCGCGCGTCATTCAATTTAAATTTTTAAATCGAACCCCGTAATCAACATAAATTACAATTATCACCATTTAAGTACCTCGATTAGTTATTTTGTAAAAGATACATATTTAATTACCACGATTATATTTATTTATTTTCACAACAATTTCACCGGGACAATAAATCTAAGTAATTCCTTTCATATATATTTATAAATAACATATTTGAATATTTTTTTCTCTAACCTTATTTTTGAAATTTTTTATTGAAATATGCAAATTGTTTTCTACTGGTTTCTATATAAATTGAGTTTTCTATAGGTTTTATTCAAGACCCAATTAGTGTTAATGGTTCATTCTCATCGAAAAATATTCAATTCTGTATATTAAAAACATTAATATATATTGTGAATTTTTGGTTTATCCTGCATGATTATCAAATATGAATGATTACGTGTGCGCACGTATAACTTTCCACAATTCATAATTCGGAATTCACTATTCATTATTTAGCATTCATTATTCATAATGTGTTTACGATTCATGCAATGAATCTCCATTGATTTTTATGATTATAGACATAATTTTATGACTTTTATGAGTCATGCATTCACTTACACTTAATATGTATGACCCCAAAGCTCACTTTCACCTGACATTCAATGCATGCATTCACTTTCACTTAATATGTATGACCCCAAAGATCACTTTCACCTGACATTCATGCATGCATTCACTTTCACTCAATATGTATGACCCCAAAGCTCACATTCACCCGACATTCAATGCATGCATTCACTTTCACTTAATATGTATGACCCCAAAGCTCACTTTCACCTGACATTCAATGCATGCATTCACTTTCACTTAATATGTATGACCTCGGCTATCATTTCGATTCAAGTTTAGGTTCATTTCGAAATGAGGTCTAAAGTTCTGAGTTTAAGTTGTACAAGTTGGGCAATAAGTTGGGCAACTTTAGCGATGATGACGTCACCGAGTTATTTGATTGCGGTGATTAGCTGAGATTATAAGGTGATTACTTAATTAGATTTTCAGGTTAATTGGTGATTAATTACGAGATTTACGGGAGCTGGTTAAGTAGAACGCGGAGCGTTGGTGGAATGAGTAGTATTATTGGTGGAATGAGTGGTATCATTGTGGGAATGAGTGGTATCATTGTTGGAATGAGTGGTGTCATTGGTGGAATGAGTGGTGTCATTGTTGGAATGAGTGGTATCATTGTTGGAATGAGTGGTATCATTGTTGGAATGAGTGGTATCATTGTTGGAATTTGGAATGAGTGGTATTATTGGTGGAATGAGTGGTATCATTGTTGGAATGAGTGGTGTCATTGGTGGAATGAGTGGTATCATTGGTGGAATGAGTGGTATCATTGGTGGAATGAGTGGTATCATTGTTGGAATGACTGGTATCATTGTTATATAACTCAAAATATGTAAATATATTAACATACTATTTTGGATAATATATTTTATCAAACACATTTCATTAGCTATGCGACAATAAAAATAATGGCATGGAAATTTATCTTCAATTAACTTTCATTATTTATTTAGCATCGAAAATTGGTATATAAGGAAAAAATGAGCGTGAGATATACAGAAAACAAATAAATATTTATATTGAATTAATATCTCACTCTTTTTTTCCGAATTATTATGATTTAAAAAGTCATCGCACCCTTTTTAAATTCATTGTCTCTCCCCAATTTCCGTAACTGTACTAGTTCGCTCCCCCTAGTTACTGTAATTGTGCTAATTTACTCCCCAAGATTACTGTGATTAAACTAAGTCACTCCTCATAATTCCTATAATTATATACTAATTTACTCACCGTAATCACCATAATTGTACTAATTAACCCACCTTTATTACTATAAAGGTACTGATTCACTCACCCTAATAACCATAATTGTACTAATTTACTCACCCTTATTACCATACTTGCGCTAATTTACTCACCTTAAAATAATTTATTCACTATGTTTAACATTATTGCGCTAATTATTTACCTTTATTGCGCTAATTCACTCACCCTAATTACTAAATAACTTAATTCATCCCCTACTAATCCCCCCTCCACCCCAGGTACAAGAACCTCACCCTAATTACCATATATCTTAATTTTCTCGCAATAATTACTATATAACTTAATCCGCTCACCCTAATTACTAAATAACTTAACCCCCCCTAACCCCACTAATCCCCCCTCTTCCCCAGGTACAAGAACGGGGGCCACACGCTCACGGACTTCATGGGGAGCGAGCCCACCAAGAAGAGGAAGAGAAGGACGTCCTTCACTCCCCAGGCCCTCGAGATCCTTAACTCCCACTTCGAGAGGAATACTCATCCCTCTGGTGAGTGTATACTCATCCCTCTGGTGTGACCGAGGGTTGTTTATAGTTTGGAATGGCGAGGGCATCAAAGGGAACCCTTGTGGAACTCGAAACTGTCGCGGCGTCAATACGAGAGTATAGGTTTAAGTTTGGGCGAGACCAGCGTATAAAAGCACCTTAAAATTGGGCGCCAAAGTCTGTTCAACGGAGGTGACCGTTACACAAGCACGGTCTGCAGTTAGCGGACTTTGTAACGGCCGCGGCCGTGAGGCCGGCGGTTTTGCCGTATTCGAACATTGACGGTCACGAGAAACCTAGACTCATCGAGGCAACTACGATTTCTGTAAGCGCGTTTAAAATCTACAAAGTACGGTCGACATCAACGGTACGGCTGCGACTCGGCCGTGAGGCAATACGAGAGGCCACGATACGTTACAATTTAAACGTCGGCAATAAGAAGATTCAAGTTTTGAGCTCTGCGCAAGAATTATCATCGGTACGGTCATCAACACAGTACGGTCACAGTTCTCATCAGAAGAAACGTTACGATCAGTTTTACGGCTTGCAAATTACGGACCAGGCAATAAGTCCAGCAGCTATCTCAATCAATCGTCAGCTATGGAAAGATCGGGTTCCAAAGGCCGGATCCCTTGTGAATCAAGTCACGAAAAATTCAAGAATCGGCAACAGGCCATGGGCCTATTTCTTCAACGCCGACACTTCTATTCTATTCTAACAGAACCAGCAAAACCCAAAGGGAGAAAGCCAGCTGTGTTTTATATAAATTTAATTATCAATATGTTGATTCTGAAACTTACATCGCAATTACTGTCGAAAAATGAATTCTTGAGAGCATTAATCACAAACGTGCTTTCGCCACGAACGCAACTGACTTTCTCCGAAAAATTCAAGAATCGGCAACAGGCCATAGGCCTATTTCTTCAATGCCGACACTTCTATTCTATTCAGTCTTAATCAACAACAGTACGGCAGCGAGTTTGGAGAAACATCATTGACTATGAAGACGAACATCACTGTTCCGTATTACGGTCATCATAAATTCAACGATTAGACCAGCCGTGAGACAACGCGGGAAATACGGCCATGGAGAAATAGCAACTGTAAAAGAAGACGCAAGAATACAGCAGCGGTACGGCCGCTGAACATACGGCCGCAAACGTGTACGTGCATTAGACGGTCGTTCACAACAGTCGTACGGCTCAACGGAATTGCAACGTATCAACGTTTCTTGTAGAGAAATTTTCGTGATGTTAACTCATAGCTTCTCAATTTTGATCGTGTTCAGATTACCCTTTTCATGGACTAGAGATTTTTGTTGACGTAGGATGTAAAATTGTAATTTAATATGGAATGTACCCGTGTTTCTTTGCAACCCACTCTCTGTACGATATTTTTGCCGTAAACCTATTCATACGAGAACCTTTTCACATGACCCACCTCTTGACCCAATTCATGACCCACTTCATGACCCACCTCTTGACTCTTGGTGCTTGAAGGGTGTATACTCATCCCTCTTGTGGGTGAAGGGTAAGAATTATGATAACCACAATAACAATTCCCACACACACTAATCATCCCCAACTAACCTACCTCCCCACACACTAACCACTCCCCACACACTAGTCATTCTTCCCCCACTCACTAACCATTCCTCCCCCACTCACTAACCATTCCTCCCCCACACACTAACCATTCTTCCCCCCAACTATTAACCACTCCCCACACACTACCCATCCCCACTCACTCCCCATTGCTCCCCCACACACTAACCACTCTACACAAACTAACCATTCTCCAACTAACCATTCTTCCCCTCCAACTATTAACCATTCCCCCACACACTAACCACTCCCCACTCACTCTCCATTGCTCCCCCAGGTATTAACCACTCCCCCACTCATTAACCATTCCCCACTCAATAACTCACTACTCATACCTCCCCCACACACTCTCCACTCCCCAACTAACCATTCCTCCCCCACACACTCACTACTCCCCAACTACCCATTCCTCCCCTTAACTATTAACCATTCCCCACACACTAACCATTCTTCCCCCCCAACTATTAACCACTCCCCACACACTAGTCATTCAAACTAACCATTTCTCCCAAAGTATTAACTATACCCGAGTATAGTACACTACCCATTCCCCACACACTCCTCACTCCTCAATGCTCCCCCAGGGGCGGAGATCACGGCGATGGGGGAGCAGCTGGGGTACGAGCGGGAGGTCGTGCGTATATGGTTCTGCAACAAGCGTCAGGCTCTCTCTTGAATGTTATAAGGGAGTATTTCTCATTGAATTTTAGAGGGGAATATTTCCTCTCGAATTGTAGAGGGAAATTTATGTCTTTGAAAATTTTAAAGAGGAATTTTTCTCATTGAATTTTAGAGGGGAATTTATTCCCTTGAATATAGAAGGGGAAATGTTGTTTTTTCTCCTTGAATATTAAAAGGGAATTTTTCTCGTTTAATATTAGAGGGGAATATTTCTCCTTGAATATTAAAAGGGGATATTTGAACAAGATTCTGTAGGCCTAAATGACGGTATTAATCATGTTAAACATGAATAATTATACAAATTATGTAGGTCTACATAATGCGCTGTTTATGCTGGTTTAAAGGACAATTTTTTTATTTAGGACTAACTGACAAATTTGCACATTAACGCTGAAATAAATAATGGTAGCACCAAGTGATGAGTTGTATGTAGGCCTAAAATGGAAAAATTTGTATTTGGGCCTAAATGAAAAAAAATTGTATTTAGGCCTAAATGCAGTGAATGAAGCAACAATAATATTTTTTTAATAGACCTAAATTATTGTACGACTCAACCCGTGCTGACATTTGAGCCTATAAAATAGTATAGGCCTAATAAGCCTAAATTAACTAGGCTCTCTACTTTTTTCTAAACCTAGATACGTTAATTCCTTACCTGCGTGCACTCGGAAAAGAATGGGTCATAATGTCCAAGTACGTTAAATGTTATTCGATTCGAAATTAAAATACACATATTATTTAATATTAATATTCCTATTAATTAATTATTCTGTTTACAATGATAATTCTCATTTTATTTACAATGCCAATTTTAATGTTATTTGAAACGATATTTTTTAATTGGTAGTAAATGGTACAAATATTTTTTCAAAAGCAAACGAAGCTTTAAATACAGAAATCTCTATGAAATATTTTCGTGTGCAATACGAGTATGTATTAATTGTATTTTTTGATAATTTCAATTTTTTTAATATTTTCAGTTATACATTGAGCTGAATTTGTGGTATGTATTTGAATATTTTCCATTTTAGTCTGCATTGGAAGAATGTTTTACTAGATTTGAAAGTTTTATATTAAATACTTAATAATTTTATTTTATTTGAGTGCGAACAAAATTCAGAAAATCTCTCTTGAATTAATTTTTTTCAGTTATATAATTGTAGTTTCAAAAAACACTTGTATAATTTACCAAGTATATTTACCAGCAGCCAAGTGATCTTAATACTTGTATAATTTTGTTACGAGTTCATTATCATTTCTTTAATTAGAATTAAATAACTACCGTACGTTTAAAAAATAATATTTAATTCGAATATATGTACCCACGATAAAATTTTTATAAGGGGCCGAGAATTAGGAATAATATTATTGAATTGTCCTAACGGAAACAATGCGCACATCGGAAATAAGTTTCCGTTGGAAATAACTGTGAATGACAGTTATAAAACCTCGCAGTCTTTTAAGAAATCGTTGACTGTACAAACTGTACAGTTATAGGTATAGCTTCTGATTTACTGCGAACTAGCAATACTAACTAGAAACAGTAACAAATACTTTACTTCTTACAGTAAAATATTCAGATTACTGATGTTAGCAATGATTTTTGGTTCAACATTTTTTATTTTCGGGGAAATACTATTTTCTTCTTTTTTTTTTCTCTCGGAATTAAATAGGATTTTCTTGATGTCCTTTAAATAGTATCCTCCTGTTGTTGATACCAGTTAAAGGATACTAGTTGAAACTGTTCTAGGATACCATTAGGAACGAGCTGGTATCATGGTTACCGTTTTACACGAACTGGTAGCATGGATACCGTTCTACACGAACTGGTAGCGTGGATACCGTTCTACACTAACTGGTATCATGGATACCAATTTGAACAAAATTGTATCATTGATACCAGTTTGAACAAACTTGTATCAAAGATACCTGTCGAAATGTATGGGTATCCTGGATACCAGTTGGACATTTCTTAATATCCTGGATAGGTACCACTTTAAAAATGTGTACTTGTATCCTGGATACCACTTTATCCCTGCTAATAATAACCAGGATACCAGTCTGCAGAAACTGGTGGTATCCAGGATACCAGTGTGAATACTATGTATATCGGTAAATATTTTGAAGGTGTAAGTAAACTGGCATTAATTTTTTTTTCAACTCTGAGGAGTCTAAAAAATAGATTTAATAGTGAAAGTAATGCATAGTTTTTTGTGTACATGTATGGGCACTGTGTGCGTGTGTGTGAGTGAATTACCATTCAGGACGGTTACTATGTGTAGATTGTACAGTTTAGGGCCATACAAAGCCCACCCTCGTGTAAATAACAATTACTTTACCCTCACTTTTCCCTCACTTTCTGTAGTTTGTTTTCACTTTACAATTGTTTCACTATAATGTGAAACTAAAACAAAAGAAGACGCTAATCTTGTTTTGAACAATTGCCATTGGTTTTAATTTAATATTTTGATCTTACTTAATATTTTATCAAATCCTGAAAAAAATTATGTAAACACATTTTTTTAATGCGGCTGAAAAAAGCCACATTTTCCCCTAAAATTATGCGACGAAAAATTATTAAATTATATTTTGATTTAGTCTTGAATTAAATAACTTTTGATATTTTCGGATATTATTAAATCATTGGGACACTTGAAAAAATTATCCCAATGTTAATATTTTGACTTCTGCACAGCAGGTTAATGTTACAAACTTGTAAATAATGTCTCTATAGTAATTATAATTAGAATTAATTATGATCCTTATTATTATTTTAAAGATTAGAGGCTTTCTAACGCATCTCTGCGCACACTTCGTATATGTTTTATGCAGTGTAATTAAGTTATATTATATAAATGAAAGGGTGAAATCTATGTTATTTAAATAACAGATGGAGAATAATTTATTTGAATTCCAGGTAAAAATTTGTGCAATTGAAATTTTATGTTGAATTTTAATATCCGTTATTTAATATTCAGTATTGAATTAATATTTTCCAACTGGTGACATTTCTTTAGGCTTATAGTATTATTAGCAATGAAATATGCCAATCAATTATAAATTAGTAATTATTTTTAACTATTTCAGTATTTTCTATGGACTTTCCAATTTCTAATTTAAAATGTTCTAGTGTCTTCATTCATTTTACTTCTTAAATGGATTATTCCAGGTATTAAAAATTCACATAAATTATACTGATAAATTCAATAACTTTTTTCACGAAATCACCATCATCAATTATTTGAATAATTAGTTTAATCTCGTAAAGTTGTTCAGTTCGTATAATTATATTCCATAATTAGTTAATTAATTAACTTTCTTGATCCGAAGTGTGCGCGGGAATTTATCCTTAANCTGGTAGCATGGATACCAGTCAAAATGAACTGGTAGCATGGATACCAGTCAAAACGAACTGGTAGCATGGATACCAGTCAAAACGAACTGGTAGCATGGATACCAGTCCAAACGAACTGGTAGCATGGATACCAGTCAAAATGAGCTGGTAGCATGGATACCAGTCAAAACAAGCTGGTAGCATGGATACCGCAGAATTATTTAACATTGATACGCCCTTTTTCGTAAGGCAAAACTGCATCAGGATGACCCACGCAGGGGCGAAAATTGCGTCGCAATTTGGACAATTCCAATTTTTTCAAGTCAAAGCATCATGAACTTTCAGTTACAGCCAGATTTTTCCCATGGATAGCGCAATATCCGGATAATACCGGTAGTATTACTACCGGATAATTAATTATCAATTATTATTACCGGTAGTAATACTAATCCGGATAATTACCGGTTTTAATAGTATTCCAGAACATTCTGAATCCTAAAGACCATCTAGATAAAATCGGATATTTCCGGTACTAACCAGAAAAAACGGGATTCTAGAATATTCACGAACATTCTAGAAGGTTCCTAAGAGCCGGATATTTCTGGAAAAATCCCGAAATATCTGGTTACTAGAATATTCACGAAATTTCTTAATCTACGTAACTGGTTTAAACCGAATTTTTTCCGGTACTAACCAGAAAAAACTAGTTCACAGAATATTCCAGAATGTTCCTAAAACCGGATATTTCTGGAAATATCCGGAAACATATGGTTAAAAGAATATTTACTCTCAAGCTTATCTAGTTTAAACCGGATATTTCCGGTAATAACCAGAAAAAACTGAAAAAACTGGTTCATGGAGTATTCTAGAATATTCTAGAAGGTTCCTAAAAACCGGATATTTTTGGAAATTTCTGGTTGAAGAAAAATTATCGAAGGTTCCAAATCGTAACTAGTATCTAGTTCGAACCGGATGTTCCTGGAACTATCCGCATACATCTGATTGAATAATCTCTATCTAGAACCAGATTTAGCAGGTACTAACAGGAAAAATAAAGTTCCTCAAATATTCCAGTTTTTTTCTAAATTTCTAATCATTTACAGCATCCAGTTAGAATGGGATTTTCCAGGAAATAACCGGAAAAATCGATATGCTGCATTATTTTTCGAACTTTGAATGGTTCAATTATTATTTAAAACAGGATATATGCTAACACCGAAAAATTCTATTGTAAAGGTATCAAATCATTAATGAAATCTAGATTTAACTGAATATCTCTAAAATTTGTGAAAAATCAGATCTACAAAATATTTCAGGGCATTTTTAGTCGTTACATTTCCTAGTAATATGCAGATAAAGTCGGTTATATTTAATAATGCCCAGCAAATATTAAATAATACTCGGCAATTTCACAATTTCTCAATTAGGGGATATTGTTACGCAATTCGGACGTAAAAATTATGAAGAAATAAAAAACACCATAACTATTTTAAATATTTCATTTAAATAGAAGCATGGGAATGAGCTGAACACATGGCAAACTTTTGCTGGGAATACGATTCGGGAATTCGGGAATCGAATCCAGAAGAAGCGGAGACGAAATCAAATCGATTTATTTAAAAAAAGTGATTTCAATTTCGTCTACAATTGACTACTATTTTTCATCCATGTCCTAAAGTTACAATAGTTTTATTTAACAACTACATATTTATATATTGACTACGTTTTCTATAGTATAAATAAATAGCTTCATATGGCAGTTATTACTAAATAGCTACATTACAATTTGATTATTATTGTTCATCTAAAATTAACCAACATACAAATCAACTTATTGAACATCGAACATCAAAATAGATTATTTGAAATTATTTTCATAATTGCAAGAACTTATCAAATCTAAGATAACTTATATAACTTATATAAGAACTTATCAAATCCTATGAAACATAAATAGGAATATATAAATAAATATCGTTATATCGTAGTGAACAATTCAATAATTATAGACTATGAACACAATTCTGAAGAATAGTGACAACAACAATAGTGAAAATTACCAACAATTATATTATTAGTATTAAGATCGAAAAATTCTAGAAAAATTTCTACAAATCTAAAATAAACACTCAATTTTATAAACAAATTGTCATTTTTGCAGACATTTATTTATAAAAATCTATTAGCTTAATAATTATTATTTATAATATAGGTAGTTCTACTGTCAACAAAATACGCGATAAATTTTCTAGATTGCAACATGTAGTTATTTCTAGATTATTTCGAGCTGAACGTCACCTAGAACAGAACATAGTGGCTTCTAGGTGTTTCTAGATGTTCTTGATATGTGACTAGAAATATAGGGCTTGCCTAGTGAATTCATGCCTAGATGCAAGCAATTTATCTAGTGATAGCGTACCTAGTGAAAGCGTACAGAAATATAGGGCTTGCCTAGTGAATTCATGCCTAGATGCAAGCAATTTATCTAGTGATAGCGTACCTAGTGAAAGCGTATCTAATAACTAAGCGTCAACTAATAACTAATTACGACACTAGTGAAGCGTTGACTAGTTTCTAGTTAATAGCGCAGCTAACTAGTGCACAACATATTAACACTTCAACTTATTTATTCGTTTTCATTTAATTTAATAATTTCAATTAAAATATTTATTTAGGCCTCAAGATTAACATTATTCCTGATGCCCTTCATTCAACAACAATAGGAATAAATAATTAACTAAAATAAAACAAAATAATAATTAATTGAAATAAAAATAATAATTAATTAAAATACAAAAATTCATCTTGATAAATAAAAACGAATTAATATAATAATTAATGGCAGAAAATCTCAACACAAAAACAAATGCACTGCCGAATTTATGATTTTTTTATTATGATTATAATTAACTTTCACGAAATTATTATTCTGGAATATATAAATATTTTCAAGCTGGATTATACCAAGTGAGGTAGAACTTCAGCGCTGGTATGTGTGGTATTATTGCAACAAGTGATTATGATATGATGGTATTGCAGGAGACTACAGACTGGTATAACCAGTGACACCTGGTGTAACAAGTAACACCTGGTGTAACTATTAACACCTGGTATAACTAGGAACACCTGGTATAACCAGAAGCACCTGGCATTACTATTAACACCTAGTATAGAATATAGCATCTGGTATTAAAAGTAGCACCAGGTATAACTAATAAAACCCGGTATAACATATATTGCATATAATATCTGTTAAATAGCATCCAACGCCTGGTATAACACACAACGCCTGGTATAACACACGTCTCTTATACACATCTAGATGTGTATAAGAGACAGGAAGTGATCAGATGTTTCTTGTGTGTAGTCATCCTCACCCTTCTTATCACTATTCTCATATCTTATCTGCCATATTAAATACATACAAACGAGCTGATAATTCATCCAAGGCTTATCGATACTAAGACTGTCATGAAGGGTCTAGTTTGTCAGTGTTAAAGTGATACCAGTGTCGGCTGCAATGATGTTTCTATTCCTCAGTGCTAATTGATGAATTAGATAATATTGCTATTCGTTCTAGGGTATCATTGCCAAATTTAAAACATTCCCACAAATTTGCGTATATTTTTGGTGTTACGTCGATAAAATTTTTGTGGAAATATCGTCAGTCGATTTTAAGGGTAGATTGATTGACCGATAATTCGACTGTTCGTTGATCAGTGTCAATGTTTGCAGCGTTACAACTAGAAAGTAACTAATTGGGAAAATTCCGTCTTATTTTCACCGACGTTATTCCATGTCAACATAAGTGTTCATGAGATTGGCCTTTGCCTAGAGCTTCGTCCGTACGTTAAATCGACGACCCTCATAGTGAGGATGAACCACTGACCAGCCATTCAGTCTCTTGAGCCGCGTCACCATTGAGAGCCATTATGAGCCACTTGTGCGTTGTTATGTACTCTGAAAGCTGAGTCTGACCACTCAGGGCGTGCATGAGTCATCCGCATCATCTCTCTTCTATATGTAATCTTCTAAAACCTCTCTCTTCTATCGCGGACCAAGTTTTATAATTATTTTAACTGACTATTATGTGTCTGTCTCTTATACACATCTAGATGTGTATAAGAGACAGGGTCAGGACCACATTTGTCTTCTCTAAAATATTTATAAAATATTTAAATATAATTAAATATTAGGCAATAATAATATTGTATGCATTTTATATCTAAACATAATTTAAAAAAACATTGAATGGATAATATACATAATGCAATTGTTTCTTCACAAAATAAAAATGAGATATATTATTATAATACTGCATATACATTTGATTTATATACATTTTATATACAATTACAAAATTTGTAATATTGTACATTATAATATTGTACGCATTTTACATCTAATTAAAAATATTTCAAAGCTCTAAAAAAATTTAAACTCGTTTTATTAAAAATAATGCAATTTTTATAGAAGAAAAATTACAATCCTTTAAATCAAATATAAGTTAATGAAGGCACTACCTTAAAAATATAAAAAAAATGTCAACATAATAAACTTTTTTTTTATTAAAATATTACGGTTCTTCATTTTGCCCCCCGGGGGGGCGCTCTTCAGAAGGGGGGGTGTGGGAGGTCACCGCCCCCCCGTAGGGCACATCATCCTCATCCCCGAGGGGCGGGGGGATGCAAGAGGGGGGGTGTGAGGGGGTCTGTAGACCGCACAGACTTGAGGGTAGACCCACGGACGACAGACCAACCGACAGACCAACCGCCAGACCAGACACCACCGCATTCTTGGCTGCGCCTGTTTTCAAATTCAAAATTAATCTTTTTTAACTTGAACTTTTATTAATTTCATATTTTTTAAATTTTAACTTTTTTAAACTTGAACTTTTTCAACTTTAACTTGCTTCAATTTTAAGTTTTTAATTCAATTTTTTTTAATTTGAACTCCTTAAACTTATAAAAAAAAATTTCAAGAATGATATGTGAAACGCATCCATTTAATACAGCAAAGATTTTTTTTATTATAAAACGTATTAAGTTCCATGGTTGAAACCTTGAGTTCAAAGCATGCATTTAATTTGAAAATATTAAAAACAATTAAACAATAATGGATTAAACAATCCATTCAATTTGAATAAGAATATTATCTAATTATAAAATAACTAACCCAGTTTCTGAGAGAGGGCGCGGCCGTAGTAATAAGGAGGGTAGTTGGCACCCTCGAGCTCAGTGGCCGCCGAGCTGGCGGACGGGGAGGGTGTGTCGCTGCTCTCCTCCTCCCCGCCTGACAGAACGTCAGCGTCGCGCTGATTTAAAACGTAAGTATTAATGATCCGTACGAGCAGGAATAAAATGAACAAAGAATCCTAATGCATTAAAATTAATTTAACGGGATACGCCATTAAAAAAATTATAGGTAGTCTCATTTTGGTGATGGACATGTTCAAGAAATTCAATTTATAATCACTCAAATTTCAAATTCATTGAAGTTAAATCAAAAACTATTATATTTAAAACATTATTAATCAAATTTGAAATCTATAGAAATGAAAATCCATGAAAAGTACATATAGACAATTAAATGTTAACATAGACCATCAGCATATAAATCATGTATAGACTAGAGTACATATAAATAGAATTTTATTGGTTCAGATAAGTACATAAAACATATTATCAAAGCCCTTAACAAACACCTCATAATAATTCACCTCCCTGTTCCTGACGTATTTATCCAGGAACTCGGACACGTATTGTCGTGACCGTGTTTCCTTATCCACGGCTTCTTGCAACGTATCTCCTACACGCGGTATACGTGATACATCCGAGGTAAGAGACACGGTGGTCAACGTATCAGACCCAGCCTCACTCATAACTGATGGACTCAGAAGACACAGTTTACCGGCACTGAGTAGTTCAGCTGAATCAGCTGAGTCAGCGGCCGACAAGAAATTAGATTCGTTGTTAAAAAACGGCGGTCGCGCCGATTTGGCCGAGGATTCGTCGTCGAAAATTGAAGCGGTGCATTGAAAGTCGGGAACCGCACGAACCGCTGTCGGGTCTTTCGTGAAGGAGAAGTGGGGAGCGGGGCCGGAACCGGGGCCGGAACCGGGGCCGGAACCGGGGCCGGAAGTTGCGGGATTGCAGCCGGAAGTTGCGGGATTGCAGCCAGAAGTTGCGGGATTGTAGCCGGAAGTTGCGGGATTGTAGCCGGAAGTTGTGTGATTGCAGCCGGAAGTTGCGGGATTGCAGCCGGAAGTTGCGATATTACAGTCGGAAGTTGCGGGATTGCAGCCGGAACTTGCGGGATTGCAACCGGAAGTTGCGGGACTACAGTTGAAAATCTTGGTATTGTCGACTTTGGTTAGGATTTCTCCAGCTTCGGTGTCGTTTGAAGAAGAATTTTCTTTAGGACCACTAGGCCGGCCAGGCCTATCTGAGTCGGGACTGGCGATGTCAACTTTTTCGTGGCCGGCATAAGCTGCACATCAAAAGAGGTTTAAATATTGCAATAGAAATCAAAATTGAACATAAATTACATATAAAATAATTGCGCCAATTAGAAACAGGTAAATTATAGCAGGAGTTTGCTACGGACTTTCTAAGTAGAAAGTGATTGCTATTGACTTTGTGGAAGAAATTTTAATTTGATGAGTTGACACAAGTTAAGGAATCGACAAAAGTTAGAAATTTAATGCAAAGTAGAAATTTTATGAAAGGTAGAACGTTGACAAAAAAGTAGGAAGTTGACAAAAGGTAGGAAGTCAACAATTGACCCTTTGGGAGACCAGGACCCCTGGGGTCGCAACGGACCCCTGGCATCGCAACGGACCTTNTAACAGCCCCGGGCCACGCTATAACCTAATCCTGCACCATGGTTTGTTACCACGTACCAGTAAGGACGATGATACGTCCAGTGGTACCCAGCAGGTCCAGATGGTTCAGCACGTACCAGTAAGGACGATGGTACGTCCCGTGGTACCCAGCAGGTCCAGATGGTTCAGGGCCCAGCAGTATACCATGAGGACCTCCTCGAGGGGGCGGGGGTAGGGGGCGGCAGGGGCGAGGGAGTAGTCCACGGACAACAGGGGCACCCCGCACCCCACCGCCCACTCCCTCAGGAATATCTGCACCATATTAATTAAATATTACTGATATACCTACTAATTGAATATCTGCCTGATATTAATAAAATATTACTCATATATCAATTAAATTTCAACACGATAAAAAAATAATATTACTGAAATATTAATTAAATATTCGCACGATATGCAGATATTTAATAAAAAATAATAAACACAATGTGATAATATTGATCTATAATAAAAAAATGATATTATTTAAAATATCTGTGTTGTGAAGTAGAGAAGGGACTGAGCTATATTGAGTAATTATATTATTGGCAGGATGTGACTTGACCGCAAAGTTAGGAAAGAAAACCATGAGACCGAGGGTTGTTTATAGTTTGGAATGGCGAGGGTATCAAAGGGAACCCTTGTGGAACTCGAAACTGTCGCGACGTCAATACGAGGGTATAGGTTTAAGTTTGGGCGACACCAGCGTATGAAAGGACCTTAAAATTGGCGCCAAAGGCTGTTCTACGGAGGGGACCGTTACGCAAGCACGGTCTGCAGTCAGCGGACTTTGTAACGGCCGCGGCCGTGAGGCCGGCGGTTTCGCCGTTTTCGAACATTGACGGTCGCGAGAAAACTAGACCCATCGCGGCAGCATTGATTTCTGTAAGCGCGTCTAAAATCTACAAAGTACGGTTTACATCAACGGTACGGCTGCGACTCGGCCGTGAGGCAATGCGAGAAGGCCACGAGACGTTATAATTTAAACGTCGGCAATAAGAAGATTCAAGTTTTGAGCTCTGCGCAAGAATTATCATCGGTACGGTCATCAGCACAGTACGGTCACAGTTCTCATCAGAAGAAACGTTACGATCAGTCTTACCGCTTGCAAATAAAGGACCAGGCAATAATCTCTGTTGTAGAAAAGGCATGGCTAAATAAATTTTAGAGTGCATAAAATATGTTGTATAGTATATCATATATAAATAATGTCAACATTACCAAGATATTAATATTGGATTATGCAAGTAAAAAATTAATTAATTAATAAATTATGATAATCACATGGAAGCCAAAACAGTGGCAATGGAGAGTGCATTAAATATGTTATACATTATATTTTATTTTAATATTATACATTATATAGTAGCTAAATATGTCGGCATTACCATGAAATTGATCTTGGCTTATCCAATTAAAAAATAAATTAATAAATAATTATATTCACATGGAAGCCAAGGCACCAGCCACAGAGAGTGAATTAAATATGTTATATGCTGTATCACGCATATAAATATGTCAAAATTACAAAGAAATAAATCCAAGATTATCCAATTAAAAATCAATTAATTAATAAATTCTGATTATCGCATGGAAATTTAGGCAGCGGCCATAGAGAGTGCATTAAATACATGTGATAAAGAGGTGGGTGAGTGGGGAGTATGTATACAACCTCCTGTATGTTATACATCACATATATAAATATGTCAGCATTACCAAAAATTGAATCCAAGATTATCCAAGTCAAAAATCATTTAATTTTTAAATAATTATACTGACGTGGAAGCCAAGGCAGTGGCAACAGAGAGTGCATTAAATATGCTTTACATCACATACAAAATAATGTCGACATTACCTGGAAATGAATCCGAGATTATCCAAGTAAAAGTTAAATTAATAAATAATTATACTGACATGGAAGCCGAGGCAGCGGTCATTGAAGGCATGCATTAAATAGGTATACTTTACCTCACATAGGTACGAAACAATGTCGACATTACCAAAAAATTAATCATAGATTATCCAATTAAAAAATCGATTAATTAATAAATAATTATAGGTACAGACATGGAAGCCGAGGCAGCGGCCATAAAAGGCATGCATTAAATATACTTTACATTACATAGGTACGAAATAATGTTGACATTACCAAAAAATTAATCATAGATTATCCAAGTAAAAAATCAATTAATTAACAAATAATGATAATCACATGGAAGCTAAAAGAGTGGCAAAGGAGAGTGCATTAAATAGTATGTTATATCATGCATCACATACATAAACATTTCAGCATTACTAAGAATTGAATCCTAGATTATCCAAGTCAAAAATCAATTAATTAATAAATAATTATACCAACATGGAAGCCGAGGCAGCGGCCATAAACGGCAGGTACAAAATAATGTTGACATTCCCAAGAAATGAATCTTGATTATCCAATTAAAAAATCATTTAATTAATAAATAACGATACTGACATGGAAGCCAAGGCAGCGGCCATAGAAGGCATGCATTAAATATACTTTACATTACATAGGTACTACGAAATAAGATTGACATTACAAAGAAATTTATCATAGATTATCCAAGTAAAAAATCAATTAATTAATAAATAATGATACTGACATGGAAGCCGAGGCAGCGGCCATAGAAGGCGTGCAGGGGCACGTTGCTGAGCATGGTGATGAGTTGCTCAGGGTTGCTGGTGCAGTGAATGGTGATGAGGTCACCTAATCAACAACAGTACGGCAGCGAGTTTGGAGAAACATCAATGACTATGAAGACGAACACCACTGTTCCGTATTACGGTCATAATAAATTCTACGATTAGACCGGCCGTGAGACAACGCGGGAAATACGGCCATGAAGAAAGAGCAACTGTGAAAGAAGACGCGAGAATACAGCAGCGGTACGGCCGCTGAACATACGGCCGCAAACGTGTACGTGCATTATACGGTCGTTCACAACAGTCGTACGACTCAACGGAATTGACATGTATCAACGTTTTCTTGTAGAGAAATTTTCTTGATGTTAACTCATAGCTTCTAAATTTTGATCGTGTTCAGATTACCCTTTTTCATGGACTAGAGATTTTTGTTGACGTAGGATGTGAAATTGAATTTTCCAATTTAATATGGAATGTAACCGTGTTTCTTTGCAACCCACTCTCTGTACGATATTTTTACCGTAAACCTATTCATACGAGAACCTTTTCACATGACCCACCTCTTGACCCACTTCATGACCCACCTCTTGACCCAATTCATGACCCACCTCTTGACCCACTTCATAACCCACTTTATGACCCACCTCTTGACCCACTTCATGACCCACTTCATGACCCACCTCTTGACTCTTGGTGCTCTGCGCCACGAAGCCTCCCCCATGACAGTGCAGCAGTAGCCCCGGCGACGGGGGCCGCACCTCCCCCCCACGCCGCGGGGAGTCTGCCCCAGGCTGTCATGAGGGGATTAATGGCATCACATGGGGAAGAGTGAGTGGTTGAGGTTATCAGAGTGAACCCCAAGTATTTATAGCACATTTTCTCATTTACGGAAAAAAATAAGCTATTGTGCTCGTCATGTCCGTCCGTCCGTCCGTCCGTTAAGTCGTCCGTCTCGTCTGTCCGTCTGTCCTTGACTTCACGGACGGACGACAAAATTCCCTCTCTGTCACTCTCTAAAGTGCGTACTAATCTAATTTTTTTTAAAATACCTACGCTCAGTCCAAGGAAAAATATTTAAAGCTTTTTTTTAAATATGCTCAGTCCAAGGCTAAAATAAAGATGCCAGTAGGCCCGCTTAAGGATAACGAAGTCATTGTCGGAGATGATCAGGGCATGTGTGAGTTACTGGGATCTCAGTTTGAATCAGTGTTCAGTAACCCCCGCTACTCAAGGGAGGAGAATGAAATTGAAGTTCTCCAGGAGC